CCATGGCTTCCCCCCCGGCGGAGGCGGTGCTGCTGCTGGAGCCTCGCTACGTCTGCTCCGAATGCTCCCAGCTTTCTCCATCGCTGGAGGCCGCCCTGCTGCACCATCAGAGCCACCTGACGGCCGGGGGGGGCGCAGCCGCAGCCCCCCAAACCCGCCTGGAGCTGCTGGGTTTACCGGGGGGGGACCTTTTGGCCGTGCCGGAAAGCAGCCATTACCAATGCTTGGAATGCGGGCAGCTGCTGCTGTCGCCGGGGCAGCTGTTGGAGCACCAGGAGCTGCACCTGGAACCCAGCGCCAAAAGCCAGCAGCAGCAAGCGGCGCCGGGAGCCGCCAAACCCCACCTGGTCCCCAATCAGATCCACTACGAGTGCGTGGAGTGCGGCGCCCTGTTCGGCGGCCAGGACGCTTGGTTGGCGCATCGGCAGAGCCACCGCCACGGCCACGGCAGCGCCGGCACCGCGGCCGCCGTCGTCCCCAACGCCAGGGTGGACGTGGAGCATTCGTACCGCAAGCCGGAGGACGAGGAGGAGGAGCTGGCGGCCGGCGTGCAGCTGCTGCTTTACGAGTGCGCCCAGTGCCTGCAGCTCTTCCACAGCCCTAAGGACGTGCTGGAGCACCAAGCCGGCTGCCGGCTGCCGCCGTCGGATCACAGCTACGAGGTGAAAGCCGACGGTGATGGCGAGGAGCGCAACCGGCGCCGGGCGCCGACCGAGCAGCGCTGCTCCGAGTGCCAGCAGCTCTTCGCGTCGCCGCGCCGCCTGCAGCGCCACCTGCGCTGCCATCGCCTGGGCGCCTTCCAGTGCCCGCTGTGCAGCAAGGTGCTGCCGACGCCGGCGGCTTTGGAGCAGCACGTGGCCGGGCACAGCGCCGAGTCGCATTTCTTGTGCTTGGATTGCGGGTTGGCTTTCGATACGGAGGCGGTGCTGCTGGCGCATCGGCGCACGCACGGGGCCGAGGCGCTGCATCGCTGCGGCTGCGGGAAGGCGTTCGTCAACATGACCAAGTTCCTGTACCATCGGCGCACGCACGGCGCGCTCGGCGGAGCTGCCGGCAACGGGGGCAAAGCGGGGCCCGAGGATTTGGTGCTGAGCGACGGCGGCGGCGGAGGAGGAGGGGATGGGAGCGTGGGGGAGGCCGTGGTGGCTGTGATG